TTTCATTTACCACAATGCATTTGTGACTCGTCTCTGCGTGGCTGGCTGGTATTCCTCTGTGTGAACGTGGAATGTACACAGTGTGTTTACTTGTTCACCAGTTGAAGAACGCTTAGGTTTCCAGTTGTCAGTGAATATGGGTTAAACCACTGTAAGCATGCATCTTTAGGTTTGGGTGCGAACATACGTTTTTGTTTCTCTCCTTTCTCTCCCTGCTGAAAAACTGTGATGGTTCTGTATCTCCCTCCAGATAATTCCAAATTCTAGCATCCCTTACTTCCTAAACATCACACCCAGCTCTTTCATAACCCAGCAGCCTCACGTTCAGATGTGCTAGGACTATTTTTGGTTTGCTGAGTGTCAAGCTCTCTCTTCCTTCTAGACCTTTGTGTGTGTCATTTCCTTTCCTAGAACGTTTCCTCTGTCCCTGGGAACGGAGGATTGTGTGGTGTGTGTTTAATTTTATAAGACACGGATAGACTGCTTTCCAAAGCTTTCTCATAGACAGGTCTGAGGGCTCCAGGTGCCCCTCCCCACCAGAGCATTGCACTGTCTGCTTTTTAACTGTGGCTGTTCCTTACTCACTCCCTGTTTTGTTTTTTCTGCCTTGGTGCTTTGGTTTAGTTACATTTTTACCCTCCCTCATTTATTCACAGATATTGTTTTGAGCGTCTGCTTTGTGCTAGGAACTGTTGAGACACTGGGGGTCCAGCAAGAAGGAGGCAGAAACATGTCTGCTGCTGACAGCTTGGATTCTGAAAACTTCCCCATCAGTATCTCCTCCACATCTCTGCCCTGCACTCCACACCCAAGATCAAGCATAAGATCCACATGCCGACTGGACATAGTAATTTGAACTGTCCCACAGGTGCTGCAAAGTCAGCACATCTAACACAGAATTCGTCGTCTCCCGCGACCTGCCCCCTTCTGTATTTCTTCCCTCAACAAATGATGTCACACTAGCCCAGTGGCTGGAGCAAAGCTCTGCCACTCACTTCTTATTCCCGCATTCAGTGATTTGTTCAGTGCTGTTGGTTTTGCCTCTAAGATACTTCATACCTCAGTCCATTCTCTGCGCCCGCTCTGCTACTTCCTGGTTCAGGCCATGCTCCTGGCGGTGCACACAGCCTCCTCCTCTGCGTCCCTGACACCAGTCCCCTGTCTCTCGCTGCTTAAAACTGGGATGGTTCTGTGTTGCCTGCAGGTCGTTCCAAATGCCCAGCCTTCCTTCCTTCCTGAGCGTTACCCCAGCTCCGTCAGTGCCCGGCAGCTGCTTCAGATGTTCAGCTGTTCTCAGTTCACTGAACCTGGCAGACCCTCTCTTCCTCCGAGGCCTTCGCACGTGTCATTTCCTTTCCTGGAACATTGCCTCCCTCCTTTCTCAGTACTTAGGCCTCGCTAAGCTTAACTGTGGGAGCTCTGGTAGCATAGTGGCTAAGACACTTGCCTGCTAACCAGACGGCTGGCGGTTCAAATCCACCAGCCACTCCTCGGAAGGAAGGTTGGGCAATCCTACTTCCGTAGTGATACTGCCTCGGAAACCCAAGGAGGGGTCGCTATGAGTCGGGGCCGACTCGACGGCACATAACAACAACAACAACAAGCTTAACTGTGCTCAGTTGTTCTGCGAGCTAGTGACATATTTTAACGCGTGTTTGGGGTTGGGTTGGGGAAAGGAAACTTGCGTAATTAAATTGGTGTGATTTCTCTTACTATGGTGCTGGGCTGAAATGGTGAGAAAGGGGAGTGGCTGGTGAGGGGCAATCGTTACTCTTTTCATGGCTTAGAACAGACCCAGTAGTAGCATCAGCTCATTCATCTGGTCTTCTTTTGATGGACGTTTACTGCAGCGTACAGGAGACCGCGCGCACTGCTGGGGGTGTGTGGAGATGAGGCAGTGACCTGCAGGACTCCTCTGCTTTGCGTTCAGAATTTCAGTAGCAAATGCCATTGTCACTCACCTGGAGTCTTCTGGCTTGATAGACGTGCTTCATACTTCTATGTGATTATTTTGTAGATGTCTTTGAAAAGGAAACAAAGTAATTACTCTCTAGCAGTTGCCACGCAGCTGTGCTGTAGCCTGGGAGAATTTTCTTATAAACCCCCTCCCTCCATGGTTAGAAAGTTAAATAAATTATTAAAATAATAATAGTAATAATAAAAATGGCCCAAGACTGTGACCCCTAGTTCCCTTCAGGCCTGGAATTGAACTCATTTCAGGTAGGTACATAGGTACACTCCTTAGAACCATCAATCGTGGGTGAGCAGGACAGTGATTGCACAGGGAGACAGCTCAGGGGCAGGGCAGGAGTGCAGAGGAAAGAGGGGCACAGGGAAGAGGTGACCACAGGGAGGAAGTGGGAAGAAGCTGTTGCAGTGTGGAAATCGCAGTCAGTGTCGTGAAACAAAACGTGTATGAACTGCTGTATGGAAAACGAATTTGCTCTGTCAACTTTCACCCCAATCACAGTAACAGTCAAAGGAACAAAGGGACAAAGAACCAAAAACGGCACCAGGTGTCCTTTCTGGGGGTGAGATGAGGAGGCGTGGGGGTGGGAGGAGGTGAGGACGGCAGCTGGCTCTTGCTGTGCACTCGGCCTGGACCGAGCCCATGCACCTTGAAGGGGACGGTGGTCTGGGCAGTGAAACCAGGCTGAGCTGGCAGCACTGGGCGTCCCCGAGTTTTGAGTCTGGTTTCCAAGTTGAAACTTTGGGGTAAACTTTCAAAGGACCTATGCCCTCCCAGTCCTGAGAACTTTCCAGACCAGACCTTGAAGACGCCCCAGTGGACTTCAGGGCTGTCAGGTGTGGAGATCGGGGCGTGGTTTTCCTCCCAGTGTCTGTTGACTGGGAACCCGTAAGGCAGGCAGGACCCTGTCACATGGTGGAACAAGCGTGTGACTTGCTCACCATGTCCGGGGCCTGGGCCAAGCCCGTTACATGCTTTTCGTATTGTTTCCCATACGACAACCCAGTGAGGTCCATGCTGTTACTTTTCTCACATTATAAATGGGAAAACATCTATCGTAACTTTTTAAAGATACAGCCAATAAGTGACAGAGCCAAAGAACGTAGGTCTTCTTGACTTCAAAGCCAGTATTTCTGACAGTGAAACTAAATGACTCCTTGTTTCTTGAAATAAAGACCCAGCTTTAGTCATTTCTGGGAGAAGGATAAGGCAGGCAGTCTGCTTTTGTAAAGATGACAGCCTTGGAAACCCTGTGGGGCAGTTCCACTCTGTCCTCTAGGGGCGCTGTGAGTCGGAATTCACTTGACAGCAGTGGGTTTGGTCTTAGTAATTTCTTTGGCACATTAATTGCCTCAGATATACTTCGGGAATGGGATGGAATTTGTTATTATTTTTTAATTTTAATTTAGTATTTATTTATTTATTTATTATTTTTTATTGTGATTTGGGTGAAGATTTACAGAGCAAATTCACTTTCCATACAGCAGTTCACATACACTTTGTCTCATGACATTGACCACAGTTTCCCACAATGCAACAGCTCCTCTCTCACTTCCTCCCCATAGTTACCTCTTCCCTGTGTCTATCCCTGCATGGACTCCTGCCCCTTGAACTGTCTCCCTGTGCATAAGCAGCCTTTCTGTCTCCCATGATTGTTCTCTCCAAGGAGTGTATCTACCTCAGGTAAATGTTCGATTCATATGCCTGTCTTTTGTTTGGCTGGAAACCACAAGTGTGGGTATAATTCCAGACCTGAAGTGCAGCTAGGGGCCATAGCCTCAGCGGTTCCACCAGGCTCTATCGGACCAGCAAACCTAGTCCCCCACCTTTTTTTTTCCTCCAAATGATTTTGATTTTTTTTCCACATTGTTCTCCCTCTCTATCAAGGATCTCCTACATAGATCCCCTTCCAAGTGGATGACAGTGGTAGCTGGGCATCATCTAGTTCTTCTGGTCTTATAGTCGTATAGACTGCAGATTGGATGGTGTACCAGTCGCTAGGACTAATTGTTTCCATGAATTTTTGGTTTTCTTCATTCTTCTTTGCTCTGGATGAGGAGAGACCCATCATTGCATCTAGATGGCAGCTTGCTAGCTTTTAAGATCCAGTCACTACTTGCCAAAGTAGGAGGTGGAACAGTGTTTTGTATAGTATATTATGCCAGTTGAGCTTGATGTCCCCTGTGACTATGGTCCCAAGCCCAGAGGTTCAACTACTCAGTGCCTCTGGGTAGCTGGATGTGACCAAGCAGTGACCACAACGTTGCCCCTTGTCAGCTCTACTATACACCTGGGAATTCTGATCATTCATATAAACTTATAGTACCATTGTCTGCCAACCCTATACATGTTCTTGGATACACTCTCCACTTCATAGACATACCTAATAGTTCAGCCTGTCCACCCATCTATCCACCCGTACACCCATGCTTGCCTTCACTAACAACGTAGTACTGTATGTGCAAAAGGGTTCATCTTTGTTGTCTGTACCTCCCATGGACCTCTCTATGTCTTTCTCTTCCTCATTGTCACCATATTGGTCACTCACATTTGGTACTTTGAAAAATGAATTTTTGACTTTGAAAAATGAGTAAAAAGTGCTTTTCAATTTTCTTCTATCTTACAAAACTTCTGTCTTAATAGGTTTCATTAGAAGTTTCTAGGCAATTCTTGGGAGATCCAGTTTTTCTGACTTTGGCTAATGAAGGGCATCTGAGCTCCTAGGTGATGGTGGTCTATGAGAGACTTGGTCCAAAGGGAGGCTTCAAAGGGTTTGCGGGCAGTGGTTGTTGTTTCAGTTGCTGTTTGTCTTTCTGAATGGAGTGAGACAGTGAGCAGGGGTGCTTTGTAGATCTGCCTGTGCACAGCAGGACCCAGGGCTCTGCATGTTACCTAAAGTTCATGAACACAAGTCAGGTACGTGCAGGTAAGGTGAGGCATACGGTATTCGGTGGGTTGGGGAAATGGTCTTTGCAGTCCTTCTAAAATGATCTCTGTCACTCTTCTTTGTTACCATTTGCTGTCTCCTTAGGTCCCTGGACTTCTCTGCACTGGGGAGAGCAGCAGAGTACGTAAGAGCTGGCATTCCCGCTCCTTTTCTTGTTCCTCACCTTTGCCACCCTCCCTCTGAACCACGAAGCTCCCAAAGCTGGGTGTTCATGTGTATAAGCATTGCCATCCCCCTTCCCTCAGCTCCCGCTGGCATCACTGTGGACTGTGGCCTGCAGTGCAATGTTGGCACCTCAGTCCGCTTTCTTGAAGACTTCTTGTATGTGTGTGTGGGGTGTGTGTGTGTGTGTGTGTTTGTGAGAGAGAGAGAGAGATTTGGCCCAAGGTCCGGGATACTCCTGATAGGATCTGATTCTCCTTCCCCAGAGATAAGCAGCCGTGCCCTGGAGCTGTCGTGCCTTCTCCTTGGGCCTCCTGGCTAAGGAGGGCACTGACAGAGGCCCAGGCGTGGGCCGGGAGAGGGAGGGACTAGGTTAGGGTCACTGATGGGCGTCCTCTGTCTGCACGGTACTGGTGCGGGGAGAACATGCCGACCAGGTTCAGCTCTCCTGTCTGTGGGTCTAGCAAAGCTGGCGCTGCAGCCAGACACCTGGGGGCTGAGGACACAGGCTGATTTTCTTGAAGCAGCCCAGGTAGGCAGGAGGCCATCTTTGTTCTGTCACTTAGAGAGTGGGTGGCCAGTTCTTCCCAGCAGGATACACAGCCCGAGGCTGACCCTGCTGGCAGTTACCCACGTGACAGGAGGCTGGGCGGAGCCCCAGCAACTAGGTCCCGACCCCGAGGGCCCGGCTTTTGTCCTGTCACTGCACCTTCTCCTGGACAATGTGCTTCCTTTGCTTTGACTCCTGACTGCTTCTCTGTTGGGAAGGTTTTGCCCGAGACTCTCAGGTCACTTAAGGCTTTCAAGGGAAATGAAATAACTGAGCCATGGAAAAAAAACGTGAGTTATCTTGCTGATAAAGTGCTAGCTGTACTCTGGGTTTAGAGACAGGGACTCAATCCAGGAGCACCAGGTACCAGAGGGCCTCCCTGTCCAGTGCTTCACTCAGTTTCGTTTGCGCGCCCCCTGTGTGTCTGGGGCCCTTCTCTGTCCCTGGCTAGATGACTGGCCCCGGCCTCCTTTTCCAAGTTATTTTCATTTAAATTTTTATTGTGATTTGGGTGAAAGTTTACAGAGCAAAGTCATTTTGCATACAGCAGCTCACATACACTTTGTCTCATGACACTGACTGCAGTTTCCCACAATGCAACAGCTGCCCTCCCACTTCTCCCGACAGTCACCTCTTCCCTGTGTCCTTCCCTCCATGCGCTCCTGCCCCGATCTGTCTCCCTGCGCGTCCACAGCCCTTCTGTTCTCCCCTGGGAGTTACTTCCTATCAGCCCCTTCCTTGCCCTTTTCTGCATCCGCCACGTGAGCTGCAAAGTGCTGATCAGAAACACACAGCCTTTTTGCTGTTGGGCCTTTCATCATGCCATTGCCTTTCCAGTTCTGGAAATACTTCTGTCCGCCTCTGGTCCCCATCTGTCCTCCATGATGTTTTCCTGCTCTCCCAGCAGACAGCGACCTCTTCTCCTTTCAACCCATGCAATGCTTGCAGTGGTACAACTCGGGGTGGTGTCACCCAGTGCCACAACTCCTGCTGTCACCCCTCACCCCGTGGGCAGGGCTGGCCAGGCAATCCTTCCCCCATGCATGGAGAGACCCAACTTGCCCCCTTGCAGGGTTGAGTGTCTCTGCTGGCCTGCCCCTGTGGCCCCATCCCCCGTGGCTCCCTGTAGCTCTTCCTCTCCCATTGGCCAAGGTGAAGACCCTCCTTTCTACCCAGTGGTGGGTGCCCCCGGCCTGCTGGTCCACACCCTGACTGGCGGGTTTTTGAGGAGAAGAGGGTTTGTTGTGGTAGTGAGGACCAATTACTGCAGTGGGTGATGGGTGACACCAACCCTTGTGAGGCCCCTGCCCCTGCAGCCCTGGCCCCCCTGCCACTGTGGACCCTGACGTCATTTTGACATCACTGCCTCTGACAGTGTTGGGGTGGGTCCGCACCCTACCCCCCGTGACCACTGAGCACTTGGCTCCTGTGTCTCCTTGGTGACGTTTTTGGGTAACGGTTTGATGTGCGTATCTGTATTCCCTCCTGTTGGACCGGTTCTAGACGTGGGATCGCCTCTTGCTTGGTTCTGCACTTGTAGGCACGTGAAAAATATGTGAGGGACTAGATTCCCTCTGCCTTTTCCATCTTTCAGTCTTGTCCCAAATCTGTGAGAGGTTTTCTGTCTCTCAGGTAGACCAGGGGCAGGGGCTGTCACGGCTGCCTCCGAGTCGCGTGCAAGTCCCTCCTTCTGCTTAGTACGAGGGCTGCACTCAGCTTCCCCATCTAGCGGACACGGTGCTGTGGGGTAGATGAAGGCATCGTTCATGTCCTACGAGAAACGCTGTCCTTTTATTCAAACTGAAGTGCTACACGTTTTCCTTAACTTCCTTTCTGACTTTCTAGTCGATTTTGGGTGGGGTCAGGAGCTTTCCTTTTCTAGGGGATTGGACATGACGGGGGCCGGGCAGGGGGAGAGAAGCTGGCCTTCTTCCCATCTTTTCGCTTTCTGTCCTCTGCCTCACCTCAGTCCTTAGAGTTCCCTGTTTCCTGCCCGTTCCGCATTTCATCTTCTCTTTTCTTCTGTTCCCCGCCTTTTCTTTCCACGGTCACTTTGTTCCTTGAGATTCGCTCTTTATTTCTTTAGCACAGACATGGCGTCAGCCTCTAAGAAAGTTCTGGAGCCGTCCTCCCCTTAGCCTGGTGGAATAAGAATAATGGTAAAACCCATGCTTACCTGAGGAGTGCGTCAGATGCGGGGAGAGCCCAAGGTCCTTGTGTAGTTTCTGGCTCCTGCCTCTGGCTGCGCTGCCCCCCGCCACCGCTCCTGCTGCTGGAGGCACGGCCTTGGCTCTCTAGACGCTGTGCTGACCTGTCTCCTGCCAGAGGTGGAGTCCGCCGCTGACTCTGGCTCTTGGACATCTGCTCTGTCTGTAGGCGTGAGCAGCCCAGCGGTGACTTCCTCAGGCACTTCCTCCTGTGGGTTCAGAAGGAACGACGTCTCAGAGACAAACTGGTTTTGTCCCTCGATCCTTTCTTGTCTTAGGAACGGCAAGAGCGTCGAGGACTGAAGAGAGCCAGCGCCTGTAGGGTCTGCTTTGCCTTGTGTGTGATCAGAATACACGCTGGTCTGTTTACCTGACGTGAAGATAGACCATAGCCAGGCAGCTGCTGTGAGGAGAAAGCCCGGCAGCCCTGTTAGGCGCTTCTGTTCCCGTTTTCACCGTGTGGACCCTGCTGAAGGGACTCCTTACTTCAGCTAGCAAGTGTTACTAGTCTCTTCCTGAAGCACCTTCCAAGTCAGCCTCTATCTCAGGCTGACTTTCCCCCTGGGGTTAATGTTTAGCGTTTAATGCTCACCATGCTGTTGTGAACACACCTGAGGCAGGTCCACCATGTCCTCCTGACTCCCACCTCACCAGTGGCTTGCTTCCCTCACTTGCTGCTGAAACCCCCGCGTGTTTTCCCTTGTCTCTTTTTGTGATTTATTATCTAAGGTAGAAGCTCAGGGGTCCTATTCTCAAGTTTATCCACTTTGTCTGGAAGGTGTTTTCGAATCCGTCTTTGCAGTTTCCACAGCGTGGATGTGGGCCCGACTCCTAGCTGAGTGGTTATGGAAGCCTAGTCTTACGGTCCTCATGAGTCTTCCCCCGCTCACAGTACTAGCAGGCCTGCGGTTTAGAAATGACTAGGGTACTTACACTTTGAACGGGAGATGCCTTTTCCCTCGTTTGGAGCCGAATAGGAGGTTGGCAGGAAGGGGCCATGCGAGCTGTGGTGCACCATCCGCGTATGGGATGGCGTCAGAAGTGGCTCCTCCAGAAGGTGGCTGGTAGAGTGTCCTTAGCTCGTGCGGCCCTGGCAAGCTTTCATTTGCTCAGGGCCAAGGTTTGTAAGTCTGGTCTTTTTAACTAACATGAAGATGAACCATAGCTAGTGAGAGGCTGGCCTCAAAGGCAGAAGTACCCTGAGGAAATGGCCGTCCCCGCTGTTGGATCCATGGACCTCACTGGCGGCAGGAGCCCAGTGGCAGAGCCGTGGCTCCCTCTCCTCTGCCCGTGCTCGCGGTGGGAGTTCTGAGCCCGGGGGTAGGTGCTTGATGGGAAGTGCTGGAGGAACCTGCTATTGCCAGCATCTGGAGCTTCCGGCCTGACTTCTGAGCCTCGGCCTGGAGCTCCCTGACTTCAGGACCAGCTTCCAGTGTTGGACCGACTTACTTGGTTCAGCCCGTGTATTTCAGGGCCTGAAAACACCAAGTCCACTTTAGAGAGAAGTCTGTCTTCTCTGAGATAGAAAAGCCATTTCTTCTCCCTTGCCTCTCTTTAGAAACAGGAAAGGACAGTCTGTTTGTGACATGCAGAAGCAGACTTCTTAAAGAGTTAGAGCAGCTACGGCAGAGAATCCCTGCAGGGGAAAGTCCAACCCGGAGCTCCTCTAAGGGTCAGCACGAAAATGAAACCAGGTGTCTTCCTTCATTGATAAAGGGTGGCTTGTGGGGATTGACTGAGGCAGTTCCGCACGTGGTCACTGGGCGTATGTGCAGTGGGCTGGCTCCTGTTCTCAGGGTCCAGACTCGTGCTCCTGAAGCTAGAAGCAGGAATTCTCCATAAACGGGGTGTTCTGATGGCCTGTGCTTATTCCACAGCCTTGGAAGACCCTGATAGTGCTGTTGATGACCGAGACAGCGACTACCGCAGCGAGACCAGCAATAGCGTGCCGCCGCCTTCCCACACGGCGTCCCAGCCCAGTGCTTCCATGCACCAGTTACCCGGGCCAGTGCCTCAGTGGCTGCTGCCGCCTGGCAGCCCCCGAGACTCTTGCAACGACTCTGTGCAAAGCTTCGACCTGGGCTGTCCGGATCGCCGGGCCCTCAGGTGGGTAGGGGGAGCAAAGCACTACTGCCTCTCACTGGCATGCAGGGCCCGTGAGGAGATGGACCACAGGGATTGCAGAGCTGCAGCCTGAGGTGGTGGCAGGACGTCGTCATGTGAGGGACCAAGTGACAGCCGTTTTGCACAGAACCATGGTTCTGCCTTTTTTTCTCTTTCACATGTTTCTACCTCTGAATCCCCACAGGTCTATTTCTTTTGGTGATCTTCGATTGTCATGCCCACTTGGGGTGTGAGACTGAAAAACAACCTGGTGCCCCTGCCCCCACCCAACCCAGGGACTTTGATAACCCTTCCCAAGAGTTTTTAAAAATCACAGGTGGAAACGTTCGAAGAGTCCTTCCTGCCCAAAGGTTTCTCTGCAAGCCTCAGAAGCACGCCAGTGTGGCCTTCCTGCAGCAGGTTCAGTACTTCTGCTGCAACCTTGTTTTAGTTTTATTTTATTAATTTCCCTTTTATTGTGATTTGGGTGAACGTGTATGGAGCACGTTGGTTTTCCATTCAACAGTTCATACACGTTTTACTGCCTGACATTCAGTGCAGTCCCCACACTGTAACAGCACCCTTCCTAATTCCTTTAGTGTTTACATTTCCCCTCCTCCTCTTGGCCTGTCCCTTCCTGCCTTCTGAGTTGACCCCTGGGCAGATGCTGCCCTTACCTCGTGTGGTTACGTACCTCCCTGCCCTTACTGTTCACTGATAGGCATGTCTGTCCTTTGGCTGGAAGTTGAGCTATGGGGGTGAGTTCGATTCCAGGCTTGAAGGGTGTCTAAGGGCCATAGTCTTGGGGGTTCCACCGTCGCTAACTGACTAATGAGCCTGGTCTGTTTTTATGATTTTGAGTTTTGTTCCACATTTTTCTTCCATCTGTCTGAGACCTACTGTTGTGATTCCTTTCAGAGCAGTCAGTGATGGTAGCTGGGTGCCATCTGGTTGGCTTGGTCTCAGGGTCATGGAGTCTGGGTTCATGGGCTCTGTTAGTCCTCTGAACTGTTTCCTTGAATCTTTAATGTTCTTCACTCTTACTTCCTCCAAACAGGGACAGACCAGTAGTTGTACCTTAGATGCCCACTCACGAGCTGTTAAGACCCTGGTCACTACTCATCAAAATGCACTGCCGTCAAGTTGGACCTGACCCATAGGGACCCCGCCTTGGGTTTCTGAGGTGGTATCTCTACGGAAATGTATTGCCCAGCCTTCCTTCCAAGGAGAGGCTGGTGGGTTTGAACTGCCAGCCTTCTGGTTAGCAGTCAGATGCCTTAGGTACTACGCCACCAGAGCTCCCCTACTCATCAAAGTAGGATGTAAAATGTTGTCTTTGTGGATCATGCCATTGACCTTAGTATCCCCCAAGACTGTGGTCCTGAGCCTAGTGATTCATTCCCTGTAGGTGTTTGGTTACAGCTAACAAGTTTTCATAACTTTGCCCCATGTGTTCTACCTATATTCATGTATACGTTTGCATATTCATGGGTATAGTCCCATTTGCCTCCCCACCCCTAATTTCTTAATCGTATAAAGTATTTCCATGGTTTAGAAAATTAAAGGTACAGTGTAGTATCAGTGAAGAGTTTCCCAGCCGCATGATTGTTTTTCTGTCCTCCCTCCCCATCCTCTCCTCATTCCCTTCCCACCATTGTTTCTTACATATCCTTCCAGAGACCATTGTCATGTATTTAGGAGTGTGCAAGTAAATACATGCAGTCCCTCAACTTTTCCAACAGTATTTCAGGCTTACAGGACATGGGAAGGGATAGCAGCGTGAGCACCCATATCCTTGTCACCTGGGCTCACAGATCACAGATGGTTAACATTTTGCCCCATTTCTTTTATCTCAGTTTCTCTCACACATACACAAACTTCTTCTTTCTTGAACCATTTGAGAGTAAGTGGCAGACACCATGTTACTTCATGCCAAAGTACTTCAGCATGTGATGCCTATGAAGAAGGACTTTCTCCTGCACAGCCTGGATACTGGGGTCGTGCTTGGGAAGTTTCATGATGTAGTGATACTGCCTAATACACAGGCCACATTTCAGTTTCTCCACTTGTCTAAGTATGTTTTATATGTGTATTTCCCCCTTTTGATCCACGATTCAGTCAAGGATCATGACACTAGCATTTGATTTTCCTGTTTCTGTAGTTCCTTTAATTGAACAGAATTCCCTCACCCCTTTTTTTTTTTCATTTTTGAAGAGCCCAGGCCATTTGTTTTGATAATGGCCCCTCATTTGGTTTTGTCTGATTGTTTATTCATGTTTAGAATCAGGCTCAGCATTTTTGCCAAAAACATGGCATAGATGATGTTTCCTTCACAATGTGTCAGGAGGCACGTCCTGTCACTGGACTCGGTGCAGGTTTAGCTTGGTCTCTTGCTTAAGGTGTTGGGCGCAGGTTTCTCCAATATACAGTTGCCTTTTCCTGTTTGATTAGTAATCTCTGGGGTTATCATGAGACTGTGTCAGTATTCCGTTTCCCCAACAGCCGTTTACCCAATGAGTTCAGCATCCATTGATGATGCTTGTCTGAATCAATGAGTTTATTGGTTGGAGGTTAGTTTTGTTTAAAAAAAAAATCATGCCAGTTTAGCTCATACTTCTGATTTCCAAATTTCACTGTACAGTGTGATCTCATTTCCTTTGCCTGCTCTCCAGGCTACTGTACTAGGGACTGTTATTCTGAGCCTCCAAGAGCCCTCTCCATGCCAGACAATGTCCTGTCCCTGTTTACTCTGAGCTCTGAGAGTATCTCCAGCGTAATGTTTTCATATGCCAACCACGGCATTGAATTCTTCCTTCTCATCCTCTGATTCTGATTAGAACCACACCAGGAATCCTACTCCATGCTGGTTTATTAATGAAATTTTACATATTTTTAAAATTTTATTTTCAGTTGTTTGTATTGCCCTACTTTAAGGAAAAAAGGCATAATAATAATAATAATAATAATTTGGGCCCTATTTTCTCTTTGTGAAAAGCCTGTGTGTAAGAATTAGGTCAACGGGCCAAGCAATGGTGGTGGCACGGGAGCCTAAAGGACCGCTTGCTTTCTGTTTGGGCAGATGGGATGCCATCTAACCCTGGACCATTTTGGTTACTTCCCAGGTTACCTGCTAGAACAGGTGACACTTAGAGGGACCTAGAGGGGCATGAGTGATGTTCTTTAAATTGGAGTTTTTGTTCCTAACATTGTCCTTTAATTTATTCTTATATCCATTTTACTCTCAGTGTATAAAATGAGGTTAGAAGGTATAGATTTTCTTCTCAAACAGAGGACAAGTTGGCATGATTTTGAGGAGCCTCTGGTGGTGTAGTACCTAAGGCACTTGACTGCTAACCAGAAAGCTGGTGGTTCAA